ATTAAATTTATTATTAAGTTGTAAGACAGGTTTATTCATATGTGTCACTTATTAATGAACCATATAAATCCATATTTTATAAATGTTACAAAGTTTCTTTTAAACCTACATAGTGACATGTTATTTATTTTCATATATAACATATAAACTAAGTTATTTTAATGAACATAAAAAATGTATCCTAAATTTGTATTTTGTCCTTTGTCATGTATGTTTGAGATATACATCTATATAAGAATAACTATCTGTGCCTGCAAATTCACCCATTTAAAATTTGTAGCCATATGTTATTTTGATGTATAGGCTATATTACTAATAAAGTTATTAAAATCCATTGCATGAAATGGTAATAAACATCCATCTATCCATCCTTACTCACAAACTTTATCATTTATAGCATTAATAAGATAGATCATATTTATTTGTATATTTAAAAGCTATATGCTGAACATATGTATCCACTTTACAGCCTGTACAGGCACAAATGAAATATTTATTTTAGAAACTATATACTATGCTGAGGAGAAAAAGGTATCATTGCACCATAGATTTTCGAGATTGCAGTGCGACAGGCCTAAAATATATGACAATTGCTCAAACCTAATCTTATATTAATATTATGAAAGTTAGTGAGTATGGATGGATCTTTGTTACTCCTTCACGCTACTACTGACTACCAACTAGAATTTGTTGTAACCTTACAGTGATGTAGCTTATACATCATAATAACACAGGCTATAAATTTCATGTGGATGATTCTACGGGCACAGCTAGTAGAATATATATTTGTGTATCATTTGGACCACTATTTAACTAATAATTTGTTTCAATACTTAATATGGAATGCTGCATTGATCTGTATTAATTGTGTAACTAGGTGGTGCATCTGGAAATAAAAAATCACTGGTTGACTGATATCTTATGAGCAATGCATCTACTAGGCTCTATTATTAATAAACACTCCTCCCCCATTTAAATATATTTATATAAAAAAATTATGTAATTACTAGATGAATAAATATGTAGTAACATTATATGATACAGTGTACATATGGGTCTTACTGTTGAATCCAAAGGTCATGCAACTTCTTATGTTTGTTTCCTTGCCACAAAAAGTTTATTAATGTCTCTATAGTGATTATCATTGGCTGAGGTGATTTATACTTATTGAGATAACTGTCTCATTTAAAGAATATTTTTATACTACTGTACCATATTTCTACTGGTAAATAGCTGTAATTGAAAATAATTATCCGAGAATTTCTCTAAATAATTTATTACTACGACAAATTATTGAAATGTTATAAATTTACATTTCATACACTTAGATTTTGGGATAGTTATTAGTTAGTTTCTATGCTGATTGTGGTGTGCATACTGCTTTAAAATAAAATCTTAGTAACCGTTAATATATTCCCTTAAATAATGTATTTGTGAATATCATTCTCAATTGTCTAGTTGTTTAGCAGAACTATTTACTTCTGAAGGTCAGGAGTTCAATTTGTCATATGATTAAATATAATTAGTATTTAAGCATATGAGTGTTTGTGGTGATCTGTGAGTTTTATGTATATAGAGATTAAACTCTATTATATTAAATAATATTGCATCCATGTAATATTTTTTTAGGTTTTTCCTATATATCCTGTATGGCCTTAGTAGTTGTCTTGATTATAATTGCAACTCCACAATGTCTACAGTCAGTAATCTGTGCAAATCTATGTTTTTATATTTTAGTGGATTATTACTTTAGCAGAGGTAGACTGCAAATTCATATACATTGGTTACTGAGACTTATTAAGTCTCAGGAATTTCTACTTCTTAGGAAGCTTTCTTTGTAAGCTGGTTTTGATGGTTGGGTGCGATTATGCAGTTTAAGAGGCATGACATCTTGGCATCATGGCAATGCATAAGCTTTTACCCATTGGGGTATTCATTCATGTTATCCATTGGGGTATTCATGTATATAGGTGATAGTTACAGCTTCAAGTGGTATACTAGCCATCAAGTGGGTGGTCACTTTGTATTCTATTCTATTTACTTCAAAAATTGGCATATCTATCTTATGGCTCAACAAAAGGAATAATTAGGAATTGGCCTTAACACTGTTGCTCTTACTTCTTTTGTTCCATTTTTTAAGTGATATTGTGATTCATGTGTAAAAATTATTGAAGTTTATTTGATATTTAATAGTAAAAATAATAATTTTAATTAAAAGAAACCACAGAACTACTGATCATTGGAATTAGTAATTTATAAAATTAACTTCTGTAATGACTTCTTATTCTAAACTAGCTGTTCCCGCGACTTCGCATGAAATTTAACTTTATTTTTCTAAAATAAAAGTAGCCTAAGTTACTCCTTATTACATCAGTTACCTACCAAAAAAGTCCCGTTAAAATCGGTCCAGCCATTTCAGAGGTTAGCCGGAACAAACAGACAGACAGACAAAAATTGTAAAAAAAAATATTTTAGTGTATATACCGTATTTATATTCATATATGCTTGTAGTAAAAAACACTTGTACAAACAGACACTCCAATTTTATTTATATGTATAGATTATAATAAAAAGTAAACTTTTCTTCTACTAATAATAGCAAAACTTGTTTCTGTTTCTATTAAATTTATCTATGTTCAAATTTCTTGTAAAATTCCTAAAAATTTAAATGTGATGATTATAATATAAAAAACTAATTAGTGTTTGTGTACTTTTAGTACCTTTTCCAAATCATTAGAATTGGCCAACCTTACTTATTAATATAGTATGCCTTAAAATAATTAGTCATTAAAATTTAAAAAAAAAGAACGACTGACTGACTGCTGTTAATTGATTTGAGGCAGATTTTATTAATATTAAATTGTAGGAAAATAGTATAAATTTATAGGGACACACAAAACATGAATAAAATCTGATTCAATTCAATTTATTTTTAAAATACCATTTTATGTCCTGTGTACTATTAATACCTACTCACTCAAATTTAATAGTAGCTTCATATACTGCATGCATGCATGGCATGTATAATTTTGGTATCCTAGTGAGTAATAGGTAATTAGATAATATCTAACTAATAAAATAATTTGTTACAGTGATTAGTTCAGTTGATAGTTTTCAAGAAGTTATCAACCCTCCAACTAGTCAGTACAGTCAGATAACTGGAGTAGATTTATCCAAGACACAGGCAACGAAACTCACAGAGATTCCTTTCGAGATTGATTCTGATACTATTCATATCAAAGTTGATAAAGGAAATAAGCCTGAACCGACAGAACTTGCAGTACCTACTCCTACAGAATTATTGTCAGCAGGAATAGAAAAAGTTGCCAAGGAGTTTCCTGCTGCGCCTGACACATTTCTTGAAAGTAATCAAATATCTCGTGCAATACAAGCCCAAGTCAAGTTAACACAAAGTTTAGTCAGCTGTCTTCGCACTAATCAACCTGATTCTAAGATGAAAGATATTAATCTTAATAATAAATCTACTGGTTTGTTATCATCTTTCATCTTATTAATTCTGTTTAACATTTCTGTTCAATTCTTTTTAAAACTACTGTTCTATCCTAATCTGTACCTTTGCTTTAATATCTAATATTATATCTATATATTAACATGTGTATAATATATTGTGTAATAAACTATTATTTTCTTTTAAAGACTCCGACTCTGCTAATGGCAATAGTACAGATGTGACAAAGATTGAGACTAAAGAAGATATAAATAAAAATGAAAAACTTGTGAAGAATACTAAGAAGAAATCTGTAAAAATGGCCAACAGTGATGCAAATGTTACTGAGACAGTATCATATGAAAATGGTAAAAATGAGACTGATAAAGTAAGTAATATAGAACAGGAGCAGAGTTTGTTATCATCAAAGGAAGAAGAGGCTGTGTCTAAACCCACTGAAATAGCTGTTACTCCTGTGGTAACCAAGTTTACACCTAAACACAATTATAGTGAAGGTTTGTATCACATTCCAGTATAGTTTATAACATTTCTCATTTAGATTATTTTACATAATCTTAATCTGTATTTCAGATCAGTGGTCTCCATTAAATAAATCAGGCAAAAGATGTTATGATCTAGAGTTGCTAAAACAAATCAAAGACGATCCTCTTTCCAAAAACAAGCCTAACATACCTCTTTTAGAGACATGCAATATTGTCAGAGTGAGTAATTTTCTGATTTAGTAACAAATAAATTTAATAATATGAAATATTAATATACACTAATATACTAATTAAATTATTATTTACAGTCAACTCCAACATATGAAAATATGCCATTCGCACCGATACAACAGAGGCCCATTATTAGCGATACGTTTATGCCTGCATTTGGAAAAGGCCCAAATTTAGTGGGTGTTATTAGAAGTACTGGTCCTCGTGATGTTAAGAAAGATAGCAGAAATATGTCATTGGGAGGCGAGTAATCATTTATAATGTCGTTAGTTATCCTTATCCAACTTTTATTTAAGCTCTTATACTCGTAATGGGATTGGTCTGATGACTGATTTATTTTATTTCTCTAGTATTAATTAACTTTTGTCAGTCTGGCTATATGCCGACAATTATTTAAAAGAGCAATAAGCAATTATCTTGCTTATTCTTTCTTGTGATTAGTCTGCTCTCCGAATAAGTATTAGAATAAAAAATATAGATATCTATTCAAAAATTATTTGAATAAAGTTTATTTATACTTCTAAATAGTTAATATTAACATACAGATTCTTTGATTTTTATAATCCAGGCAAAGGAAGCATGAAATCAAGTACGAGCCAGAGTGGTAATAGTGGTGCCAAAGTTATTCACGTGGTGACATTATCGCGTGAAGAGGTGAAGTTAAATGAAGTTGACTCAGCATGGAAACCATCTAGATTTAGGAAAGAAACTCTTACTGAGGATGATTATAAAACACAAGTGAGTTTTATTATTTTATTGTATTGATAATCATAAAATAATACACTTTTCTTCCAGTTATCCTATGCGGCACCGAAGTAAGTGCCGCATACTTATATTCAACATGGGTAATGTGAGTGGGACCCGTAGCCGTCTTCATAAATTTATATCTCTGTGTCACTTCCTGAGTACTAACCAGAAATATAAGTTTCACAACTAATCATAAATTCGAACACACTACATTAGGTCGGGTATTGAATCATTAACAAGGCCATGACTAAATATATATGCACATATATGTTATTGATATTTATATTTTTTTTTATTTTATTGACTATATTTTTTTAGGATTTGTATAAGAAGTTCAGAGGAATACTTAATAAATTGACCCCTCAAAAGTTTGACACTTTATTAGAGAAAGTGAAAACTCTCAATATTGATACACAAACACGTCTCGAGGGTGTCATTGACATTGTTTTTGAAAAGGCTATAGATGAACCTAATTTCTCGGAAGCCTATGCAGCGATGTGTAACAAACTCTCAATGCTCAAGGTAATTAGATTTATTAGATTTACTATTTACATATATATTTCATATGTCATCTTTACTCAATGTAAATTTACAGGTACCTGCAGATAAAGCAAGTGCTCCTAACCAATATGTAAATTTTAGAGCACTTATTATCAGCAAATGTCAGAATCAATTTGTAACTAAGAAAGTAGATGAGCAAGTTCTGAAATTAGAGAAAGAAAAAGCTGAATGTAATGATCCTGTAAGTAGAGTCAATTCTATTCAAACATGTTATACTTTAAATATAAATTGGATAATTTAAGAACTTGGATTAAATAAAATAGTATGGTATTGTTTATATTAAAATTATTCTTTTTATTTAGAACAAAAAGAAGGAACTGCAATTGATGCTTAAGGAAGAAAATAGGCGAGCCAGGATGCGTTCAGTTGGGAATGTCAGATTCATTGGTAAGTTTTTGTTAACAAAATTACAATTAACTCATTTGACATACTTCAGGTTTTTAATCTTTTTTATTATTAAGACAAGAGCACGCACTATTAACAGTACTACTACCTAGACTATCATATATTACGTATTTAGAATACAAGCAATAACTATTCAAATTCATGTTTTAGTTTTTTAAGTACTTGCTTTTCCACTAAAAAATAATAAAGCCACATTTCTGTGCTGAATTATATTTACCTAATGAAAAGTAAGTACCACAACAAGCATTTATAAATATTTGATAAATTTAAAATTTTGCTTCAGCCAGTTACTGATAAAAGCCGACTTGCGAAAGGCAATAGCAATTGCGAATGTATGTCATATATATATATATATATATATATATATATGACATATATGTTATGTTCCATATATATATATAGTTAATTCTTCTTTACCTAAATGTTTTCTATTTTGTTTATACAATTGGTTATTGAAGATATTTTTTTATTTCAGGTGAATTATATAAATTAAAAATGCTTACATCTAAAATAATGGTATACTGTATGAACCATTTGATAGAAGATGTATTAGAGGAAGAAAACCTTGAATGTTTATGCAAACTGCTTACTACAATTGGGGAACAAGTCGAGAGTGAAGCAAAAACCCAATTGGATTCTGTATTTGAGAAAATGCAGAACATAATTTATGGCCGTAAAAGCAACAAAATTAGTAGTCGTGTTAGATTCATGATTCAGGATGTAATTGAATTAAGGAAACGAAGATGGGTTGTTAAGAGTGTAGTAGATTCACAACCTAAAATGATGGATCAAATTCAAAAAGAAGCTGAGCAGCAGCAACGTGAAATTGAGGTATAGTCACGTTAGAAATTTATTACAGTGCGTTTTGCAAAATATTATCTATTGTTTTTGTGTGAATATTGGGCACTTCGTCATTATTCATTGTAATCATTAAAGTATCTGTATTTAATATATGAATATGGAACGGTGCACTGGCTGACTGATGATGGCAAGGATACTAAGGCAATGATAGGATGAACATTAGTCAGGTCAGTTAGCACATAACGGCCAATACACAAGGAATTAAATGCAAGGGACACCTGTGTGAACGCACGCATGTGACATGACATGGCTACATACATTGCTAGCAATGGGTCTCTTACTCTTCTTTACAAAAGACAAACAACGATGTAAATGTGTGTCTATTTATAATATAAGAAATACTAATGACCAAACCTCCAACCTCCTAAAATTGTCTAGTTTTAATTTACAAAACAAATTACTATAGAATTTGCTCTTGATTTTATCACCAAAACTATTTTTTTTTCTGAACAGTCGAAGTATTAACAGATGTAGTAAAAGTTACCTCGCGGGTAGAGTATGATTACCAGGAGAATCATCGTCTCTTTATGTCTGATTAGTTATCGGGTTTCAGTAACCTATGCCTTTTAAGCCCATATATGTATGTTGGGGACTATTAGTTGGTTGGCCATCACATTATGATGATTTACTAACTGTATCTATTTGAAGCAGCAGTGTTTTATCTTTGCGGCCACTGTGTATGAAGTGAGATACTTATGAACCTTCAATGTTCTTGCAAACACAAAGGTGCATTTATAATCTGTTTCATAATATTGTCTTCAGCCCTTAGTATTATGCTTGTTGGATTGGAGTTTTCAACAGAACCCCATAACTGAATGCTGTAGGTCCAGATTGGTTTCTATATAGAGTTGAAGAGAACTTTGTTGTCAAGGGATAATTTTCCTTTTCTGCCTAGCAACCAATACATCCTCTTGTATTTTATATTTGGTCTCTTTTTATCTGAATGTGCTTTCTTCAAGTCGGCCGATGATCCAGTTGCATTACTAGATACTTCACTGTATCACTTTAGGGGAGAGTTTTCCTATCTAGGGTAACTGTGGGGCAGTTTCCTGGTCGCATACTGAATATCACATAAAGTGACTTGAATGTGCTGGCAACTATATTATATTTTTTGAGCCACTGGTTGATGAGAATATGGTCATTTTGTAAAGCTCGTGAGGCTTAGTCGTGGCACGTATTGCAAGTTAGAACTGAAGTGTCATTAACTTATCGAGCTATGGTTAAACCTTCACATTGTGGTAAGTCTAATGTGTAAATGGTATACAACACTGGTCAAACCTAAATTGATAAGTCGAATATTAAAATTGAGTGTGATACACAAACTTAAAATGAATGGGATATCATTGATTTGTTACATGAAATAATGCGACATTAAATCATTGTAACATACGGATGAACAAAGTCGCACCATATGGGTTCTATTTTGCACTAGTACACATTAGAAGCTACAGACACTGCGGCTTACATAATCCTGGAGCTGGAGGACGCTGCGTGAAGCATATGGAATTTGAATTTTAATACTGTACAATGTTCTGTTTTACCTTTTCGGTCTGGTATTCTGGTACAAAAGAATTGCCCTGATTATTTTTCTAAAAATATATATTTTTCATGTCTTATTTGGTTATTGTATTTGCAGTTAAAAAACGCCAACCCTATGGGTGGTTTCCGAAATCGTGATGAAGGTGGTCGTGGCAAACGTGGTGAAGGCAGAAGACAGAACTCTAATTCCTTCCAAATGGATAATAGCAATAATTGGACACATACCAAACGTTATACAATAGATACTTCCAAGTTAAAAGCTGTTAATTTAACAAGTAATAAAGTAAGTTCTTTTGTTTGTTTACACACACCGTTACTGCAATTTTTAACGTCTTTGTAAGCTATACACCTACTTGAATCGGTAAGCCACCTCTTTCACAAAGATTAACATTGTGAAGGTGGACTTTATTAACATGGATTAAAATTAGACACGTTCCTTGGTATGGTAGATTGCTATATTCCTAATATCGTAGAATCAAAAGGCACTGTAAAAACAATTGCTATCAAAAATAAGAATAGAATGTCAAAATTAAAAATACAATAAAAATACTACTTATTATATTTGTTACTATTTAAAATTTGAATTCTTTATAAAAAATTAAAATTAAATAAAGAACTGTATACAAATTATGCAATATTGTATGAAATCGTTCTACTTGTGTAGTCAATTGAAGTTATGACGCAATACCAAATAATTTCAATTAATAAAATGCGATAATGTAGGATCTAATGAAAGTAACAAAATTATTTATGTTACATTCATTCCAAATATTGTTAATCCAACCAATTTAAAAAGTGAGTACAATACCGTAGATACGGAACATTATTTATTATGGTCCTAGTTAGATTATATATTTATAAGGGTACCTTTATTGGTTTGATATACTTGTGAATTTTTAATGCCTTCAAACAATTATAATATTAATTGCGTTGTTCGTCGTTTCAATGCCATGCTGTCATTTCGGCAAAATTGCGATAACGTGACATTGTAACGAGGTTACTTAATCGACATACGATAGAACTATTTTTTATCTATAGGTAAAGTTACGTTTACGTCGCTATGCTATTTGATATCGTCAATAAAATGGGATTACTGACAGATGGCGTCATTTTCACTGCGCCACATAACGAAAATCGTTGCGGTGTATGTTATATAAATAGCACACTGAACATAAGTTTCATTCTCAACAATTGTTCTTGATTGTTACGGTATATAGCATTAAGGAGCCTCTTTTTACATGCTGTGCTAGGTTCAATTTGGACTAATTGACACTACTAAAAAGGCGTTGGGTATTCAGATTTATCAATACGGTATTATAATAGTCATTATTAGAATTAACTGTAATCTATATATCGACAAATAAACGACAAAAAGGAGAGTCCTATAAACATTTTCGTGAATTGTAATTAATGCTTTTAATGTTATAGTGCAAGAACATCTTTCTTTTTATATTGTTTCAATTTGTTAAATAATTATTGTAGATGTCAGACCAGACATGATAAACATATACTAACTGTGTTATACAGTGGTAATCATTATTATTACTGTAATTGGAATATACAATACAGTCTGCTGTTTTACATCTATGTGATATTATATTTCAGAATTTAAGTACTGTTAAATTGGCTCCTCCTGCATGGAGCCCTGCATTCAGTACTAAAACTGCAGCACAAATTAGTAGTAACAGCATGGTTGGTCTTACTAACAACAAGTATAGTGTTTTAGAAATGCAGCCAAACGATTCTAGTCCCATCAAAGGTAAGTTATTTTTTGTACTATCCATAATGACACTTTGTCATTCTTCAAATAACAAGAAAGCAAAATAAATATTTTTTTTTATATTTGTTTAGATCAAAAAAGTATTCATAGTGGCTATATGCTCATTTAATTCGAAAGAAACTAGGTTTAGCCCATTAAAATAATCAATGCAGTAGAATTATCCCTAGTCTTAAAGAATTTGGGTTTGTATACTAAATAAAAAAATCCATGGCTTCAAATTCTCTTTATAATATATATGTTTTTGTAGTCGACTTTCTGATTGACGTCGGCCCTTTTTGTACATTTATGGCGATTAAATTGCTTCAATATTCTAGGGTAGGCATAAAGTAACATGGTTTGTTATAAACTGGAAGTGAACAATTATGTTGGTGAATATAAAAGGGGGTTATTGCAATTATGGGAGGGATGTGGCTATTAATTGTAATAACTTCGGAAAATGTGGTTGGTTAACCATGACTTAATACTTTATATTAAACAATACATGAAATCTAGTCAGTCAGTTGTGATTCTTGAATGTATGTTTTCAAAATTATATCACAATATTTTCATTCAAAGTGACTACATTATAATTTTTTTAGGAAGCAAAGATACATCCCCAACCTATCAGGCAAAAGGTGCTTCCATTGAGAGGTCGACATTTACTAGAAGTGATTTCAGTAAGTAATTAATTAATTATCCTTATATTAGTCATTACAAAATACGTGTTAGGCTCTATTTGAAATACGTCAGTGTTATTATAATTAATAGCATCCTGAATGGTGTGCACCATTCCATACAACTAGTGCTTTACAGAATATATACAGTAGGAGTAGGTGTATTCTGTATGCATAGTGTGTAGGTGTCATGTCTTTAATATCACTACCCCATCTGAGTATATCAACAAGAACACGGACGGCAGGGCTCTCGGTGGCTACTTAGTCACTAATCATAGTCGCTAAATGTACCTGATAGAGACTCCATATTCTTTCGGTCAGAGATAAATTATGAGGTGACACTTCCTAGTCGATGTCATAAATGTGTATATAGTATAGTAGGAAATCTACTAGTAAACATCTTAGTTTGTTTTATCGACTGGGTTTCTTAAGGACTAAGATGTAATTTAATAATAATTTTGTATGAAGAGAAACTAAGGTCGTTATGAACATTAGTCTTAATTTAAAATGTTAATTGTGAAGAATCAGTTTTTTTTACTGTTTTATCAATAATTATATCATAGTTCGGTATTACGTTCATCTATTATTGAAAACCGCACATAATTCAGAGCTGAATGCTTGCTAACTACCTATCTATTTACATAAAAGTAAGGAGTCCTAGTCATATATTTTGCGATATTCCAAAATAATATTTGTAACCGTTGTATTATTTAATATTTATTGGTATTAATAAATATTTTTTTGTGAATCCCTGGTTTAGACTAAATATCTCTAACCAATGGAGCCCCTATAATGAAATATTATCATAGATGCATAACTAAATTTGAAACGTAATTGTTTGAAAATCATTAATTCCTTATCAGAATTGCTCTTACTTATAACTAAGACAAGGAAATGAGATTTAATAATTTTTTATTATGAAGTAACTAACTACTCGGCCCGCCTTCGCCCGGGTATATAATATTATCTACTAAAAAAACCGTGTCAAAATCCGTTGCGTAGTTTTAAATATTTAAGCATACATAGGAACAGACAGCGACAGCAACTTTTATTTTATACTATGTAATGATGTATAATTGTTTTCCCGGAAATAAAGGATTTTATATATATCTGTACAACCATTATCACTGGCGAATTGGTTTGGTATATGGTTAGTTAGTTAAACTTGACTTGATAACTTTAATGGATTCTTACGACATCATTCAAATAGAATAGTCTTGATACTATTACAATTTAATTTTTTTTTAGGCAGCGGCAGCGGCAGCCGTCCAGGTTTAGTGGGTACAGCTCTATCCAGCTCGGGTAGTCGCAGCGTAAGCGCTGCACCTCCTACCCCACCAGTCATTGCTGAGATTCCAGGACCTGTTACAGCAGCTGTTCCACAGGATCCACTGCCAGAAAACAAGAAGAAGTCTGTTCATGCAATGATTAACCTCGCTCTTTTGAACCCTGTTGACGATGAGTTGATACATGAAATACAAAGATTTGATACAAGAAATCATGCTGCAGTTGTTACGGAAATACTCAACATGGCACTGGAGAAGTAAGCTAGTTCATATCACATTAATTTTTGATCCCAGTATCAAAACTACAACATATGTTTCTTGGGAAATGAATAAATTTTCTTTACAAAAGAATATTTGATTGTATTATAGTTTCTTAATTCTTATATATAAAATCTAATATTTAGTGTATTTGATAATTAACAGTATGTATATTTCAGATCCCAGAAAGAAATAAACACTATAGCGAAGTTACTCTTACATTTGGTTTCAACAAATACTATCTTACCAGTTCATTTTGAATTGGGCATAACAGAAACTTTAGAATTTGCGCCTGATTTGTATATTGATATACCCATGTTATATGAATATTTAGGAGTGATCATTGCGCCGCATATTGAAAAGAGGGTATGTAAATATTTAATCATACACAAAATAAAACCAGGTTTGCCAGTGAAATATTAAAAAAAAAACACTTTGCCCTTTCTTTTAATTTTCATATTCAGATATAGCTTTAGCTATTCCTGAATCGATTTGTTGTAATATTCAGTGCTTCATTCACACATTATGCTGTTCCAATAGAACTTAACCTTTTATGGTAAAAGGTATACCTATGACATTATAGTAATTCGTATTGAATATGTGAATTATTTTATTACTTTTAGTATTATAATTAAATTACTTTAAATAAGGCTCCAATAGTGTAATGTATAAAATTCTTTTGTTTCAAGACCCGAGAAGAGAATAATGATGGTAGGATAATTTAAAAAAAATCCTATTTTGTAACCCAATTGTTTTTTAAAATCTGACGTTTTAGAAATTCATATGTAATTGTCACGGGAATGGATTTTCTTACAGCACATCACACTACTTCAAGTGTTTAGGCTTTCTGAAAATATTAAATCTGCGAAACAAGGACATTTACTACTAAAAGCAATAATAAGAGAGTTAAGAGATAGCATGGGACCTACTTTTGCAAAAAGTAAATGGCTGGAATCCAATCTTCAGTTTAATCAATGGATGCATGATGACCAGGTATGGCATAACTAAATAATTTCATAGTTACTCCAGTATTGATTGAAAGTTATATGATATGATCTAAAATATGCTAATAATTGTAACATTTTTAGGTAACGTCATGGCTAGCAGATAATAAATTTGAATTTTTGGAAGGAGTTACAAAATCTGAAGATTCAAAGAAAATATTAACTCCATCTGAGACACAGAAGAAATTACTTCAACTTCTGAATTCAGATGAGAATTGCGATTGTATAAAAGGCTGGGTACATGTAAGTAAAAAATTATTTATGGATCTGTTTGCTTTATATAAGGGTTTTGTTGTTAGTTGATATGGACGACGTGTTTGTGTCAATCAATCTCTTAATAGATAAATTGATTTTTGGCGAAATGTAAACAACAATATCTTCGTATTTGAAAATTTTGGTGAGGGTATATGTTGTGTATCATATCTAGTTAGCAGGTTTTATATTTGGTTGCAATGATTGTTATTAGGATAACTTGGGCAAGTCGTCGACTGAAGATTGGTTTATGAGGTCTCTAATTCAAGCCATTTGCGAACATGCCTTATTTGGCCCTGAAGGGCGCGATATACCTCATTTTAATCAAGAACGTATGAATAAATACGCTGGACTTATAAACGAATTTGGTGAATCGAAGAACGCGAGAGAAGCTAGTTGTTTAGTCGGAATACAACAGCTCATACACAGGCTAGAACACCCACAAGGTATAAAAATAATTTTTAATATTTCATTGCAGCCATCTTTAAACTTGTCAAATTTGAGCAAAGTTTATTTAAATAAAATTGTTTTATTTCTGCAGGGTTGACATTGCAAATTTTCCAATATTTGCATGAACAATATATTATTACAGTAGAAGGATTTGTAGCTTGGGAGGAATCTGAACTAGAGCCTGAAGGCAAAGGTAAGTTGGCAGTTGGATCGTTATTGTCACGTGGTTGTGGTTTGTGGACATGTAGTCGGTTAACTGGTTGTATTGTATAATTTGTAGGAGTAATGATGAAGGCGCTCACGTCGTTCTTCACGAACATTAAGGAGGCGGACGAGGCCGACTCGTGCAGCGAGGACTGACGCGGGCCTCCAGCTGCGGCAGTGCTGCCTCGGTCACCGCCGCCGCCGCCGCCGCCATCCTCCACTTCTACTCTGGCGCTCGCGTCCGATTCACCCGCTTATATCTTCTATATTTTTATATATTAGAAACATCCTACGTGGAACTCATAGAATATTTTATATTAACTATTATAGTAATGCTTAATCTAACAGAAGCTAGAAGAAAGATGTATAATATTTTTTAAAGCGATTGTTATTTATCAAGACATCAATGACAAAACCAGAATAAAATGGGCTTTTCCATTAATATAAATATATTTTATTGTTCAATAGATATTTGCATTGATTCACTTCTTTTAGTAATCAGAAAAATAACAATGTACCAAAATTATAAATTTTATATTTGACTATTAATAAAATTTTTGGACTTATTATGGAAAATTTCTGATCATAAATACTGTTGATATATTTAAAAATTGCAATACTTTTGGTCACTTGCATTGCTTTTCAACAGAACTTTTATTTCTATAATTATACTGGTCTCATTAAAAGTTTTATATTGTGATGTCATATTGTAACTATTTTATCCTATTTTTCTATTAAATATTTTATTACTTTATAAAGTTTGTAAGTTTTCGTGACTATAACTATTACAATTGAACTGACAAAATAATTATTTCGTTTTCAATTTTACAATACTAGTGTATTTGACGCCCACATGTTATTTTATCAGAAGTCTTTTGATATCATTTGAATTTTTATGCCTACAATTTACTACGTTTACATTATGGTGTAAAGGATTTTTATAAACGCTATGTATTATTTAAAAACGGCATGTCTTATATTTGTTGGAAGTTTAACTGGCCAAAAGTATTTCAATAACTTACTAAATTTCAGTACAAAAGAGTTCTTTCAGAATTATGTTATTAATAAATTATAGTTATCTGATCGTATCACAAAATTATGTAGGTTTATAGAAAAAATTATGTATCATATTTTATTATATTAACAATCAACCTGCTAATGATAAGTTTAAGACATAGTTAAATCGACAAAATAATATTTTCTAAGGCTTATTCTCTGTTAGCCAGATGAATATATTATTTTCTTCATTTATTGCAAAAGGGACGTATCTATTCACTATTTTATTTAACGCAAGTTATAACTTGTATGACTTGTAACATGGGTAGCATGTTAAGTTTATTTTATATTAATTTCGTTGTGACAACTGTTATCTGGCCATCAGAGAATACCCCGCACTAAGCAATACAGAAATCAAAGTGATTCATATAAAAAGACTAGCAATGATAATGGAGTACCTAATTAGTAATTATTAGTGCTATATATTTCATTTTGTACTTTATACAAGTGCTTATGAATTATAATGCGGAGACTTACAATAGTTAAATCTGTGTGGCAACTAAAGCACCAATAATGTAATCCTAAGCAATAATCATGTATCATAATCAAGAGTTTAATAAATATATAAATTTAATAAATATATAGATAAAACTAGATGACTGTATTTGCTATATGGTGTTGTAATTAGGCATGGATTTTATTAATCACGTGATTTTCAATGGATAGAGACCGCTAATTTATGAACTGATTAAAGTATAGTAATTAAAGAATATATGAAAAAAATACATAGTTTTACATAGATTTTCATAGTTTTACATTGAATGAAATATATTGAATCAAGTGTACATTGAATAAAATATGTTAACTTTATTCATATAGGAATTTTTAGTTCCATCCATCAAACCTTTCTGCTACCCTACTACCTACTCTTACCTAGTACATTTTCTTGTAACTTTTTGATTTTTTGCATATTTTATTATTTAGTTTTAACTATATTATAACGTCTCAGCAGTTGCTATCGTCTCATATCTGTCGTGGACATTAGCCATCTGGGGACGCATGCGTTTTTCGCTTCTATATGCAACTGAGTTAATTTGATTACTATAGCTACTCTTGTCAGTTATGTATGTTATGTAAATAAACTTTTTATGACAAAAACTTGTTTACTTTCTGAGTATTCCTAATTGAACACCTAACATATTGTGATCGGACAAATGTTATTCTTTAACAAAAATATCTGCTGAATATCATGTAAAAAGTATATGACAAAAGAATTGTACGGATTTCAAATTGTTAACCGTGTTCGTATGCCACAAACTAATAAAACGACCTAGTAAAACCTGTTTTTATTAATGTCTAAAAATATTTTGGGATATGATTTGCATAGTCATTGAATGAGAATATTCTCAACTATCGTATGTTTGCAAGCAAACCTTTAAATGTGTTATTAATTATGTTAATGGTAAAGTGCCGTGCCATGTGGAGTGGAGTGTGAGTGAATGGAGTGTGTCAACTTGACATTGTACAGTGCCATCTATTGGATCAACAGTCCACATTACTAACAATACCTTTCACCCCATCCTTGTATGTAGATACTAATTATCATTGCATATACACCACCCACCATCTATGTCGTATTTTTAATTAGACGAAATCAACTGACACTTTTTTTAATAATGCTTTATTCATGACCATGGATACAAGTCCTTCAGTCGAATATATTTTTATAATGAATTGAATACCAAAACACAAAAATTAAAACATAAAAAATAAACTATTATATAAGCTTAGACAGTACAATTTTAGTAATAATTCATTAATATTAAATTTTTTCCACAGTATGTACAATGTAGTTATATATTGGAATAAAATATGCAAAGTGAAATAGCAAATCTTGAACGCGGCGGGGAATACTTTGTGAGTGTTCCTTTGCGATGTCACTAATGTCATTGACAAGAATCAACCGTTGTAGGTTGAAAACTTGGCATTCAAATATTCGATAGAAATAATTTTTATCGATATGTAAAGTTGCGTTTACTTTGCAATGCTAGTTGACAGCGTCAAATGGCGTCAATATAATCGCATTATTGACAGATGACGTCATTTTCACTACGTTGCATACGAAAATCGTTGCGAACGAAGTTACATAATTAGCCCAATGGTTTATGTCAGCATTTATCTTGAAACAGTGGTTGCACTTGTCATTTGTGATTTTAATTCTGTTGAGATGGGATGGAACTAAACAGTGGCCGAAACGTAGACGATTGATGATAGTGATAAATTTTCTATTGTAATATTTGAATTTGCTGTACCAAGGTGTCACTGGTAAGTCTGGCTGTAATTCTGCATACCATTTTCCTTTATTTTCTGTGCTTATGTTCCAGTACTCTTTCCACACTCTTCGTAAGTTACTTTTAAAATATTGGTAATAGTCGGTAAATGGCACTTTCAAAATGTCTGTCTGATCTTCATCATATTGTTGACGAGTTGCCAAGTCTACGACCTCATTTCCAGGTATGCCACTGTGTGAGGTTACCCATACAAATTCTACATTTTTATTTTTACTTAAAGTTATTATAGTGTTCACTTATTTGTTATTTATGTCTTCTTGTTTGGTAGTTGTTATCGACGTAATATCGGCTCGTTAACCATAGCTCCACGTCTTTACTCCGCGGCGCTTGCGCAGGGGAATCCCCTCCCTCTTGCGCACGGCGGTCCGTGTACGCTCGGCTCGAGACGATAGAAAATAAACTGCTAGTGTTTCCACATACACTACAGTTATTAACCTATTTTTTATTTCATATATAATATAATTTTGTTTATATGTACAATTACCACTGGATAAGAAGTCAACTGACGTTTACTGTGTTGTCAGTATTTGATGAAATAAAAATAGTGTTGTCACAAAGTGAATAATTGAAAAAACTCCTGAATTAATAGAATTGCCTCGATTGTCTAGTTTAGTGAATGGTTAGTCCGCCGAACTGCCGATATCGGGTACGGGTTTTCGACGACTATGTTCCTATAGTATATACCTATACCAGTGGCACTCAATGAGGAAGTAGCCATTATTATTGCTAAAAGTGGCATATAGATGGCGTGATTGGTATCGATGGAATTCTTCATAGTTTTGCAAACGTTTTAAAAAACAAAACTGTGTTTTCAAAAATGTTTAATCAATTTTTAAAAAGTTATATATACATGTTAAAATGAAATAATGCGTTTAGAAAAGTAATTTTCATATATTTACTCATTTTGTTATTTTCCAGTACTTAATTACACTTTAATCAGTGCTAATATGGGGCTCAATGTTTTCAAAATGCTTTCATAGATGGCATTGTCGTCATTTGTATCGGCCTAATTAAATGTCTTTTTTATATTTTCCAATAATAAGCACTTTAATATATTATTATTGTAAATTAAACATATAAAAAAATTTTAAGTAAATTAAAAATAGCCGAACAAGCAAGTAATACTATTTCCAATAATACTTATGTATGAAGTGTTGTCATATTAAAAATAAATACATGTATTATCGATTTTTTTGAATAATCGATAACAGGATTTTATTAGAGCGCATTATTCGATGATGCTTTTAATGAGTCGTTGTGAACAGTAAATTTTCATTATTTTGTATTATAGCAGTGTTCCGTTTCAAAGAACGGAATATAGTAGTACATTATTAGTGTCGTTGGTTATTTACATTTGTACTGAATAATCGATTACATAATAATTTAAAATATCGAGTACGAATCGTAGCTGTCTTCGAATACTGGCAACGGGTAAGATTAAAATAGTATTTAAAAAAAGAGAGAAATCGACCCTAACTCGAATACCATAAAGTTGATTTTCCTTTCTCATTAATATCATAGCAGTTTGTTTTTAACTTGCGTATGACTCTGTGGTATGATGTTTAACGTGTATTGTTATTGTACGGTGCATACATTTAAAAAATTATATCTTAATGTAGGTACATACATTTCATACATGTCAAAAATTATCTTCTAATGTAGGTACATACATACATTTCTTTCATACATTTCATACATTTCAAAAATTATCTTTTATGTCAAAAATTATCTTTTAATGTAGGTACATACATTTCTTTCATACATTTCATACATTTCAAAAATGAACTTTTTATGTAGGTACATACATTTTTTTCATACATCTCATACATTTCAAAAATGATATTTTAATGTAGGTACATACATTTCATACATGTCAAAAATTATCTTCGTATGTAGGTACATACATTTCATACATTTCAAAAATTTCATACAATACGTTTTTTTTTTCTTTCATACATTTCAAAAATTATCTTTTAATGTAGGTACATACATTCATACATTTCAAAAAGTATCTTTTAATGTAGGTACATAACACCACATGTCAGACCCCTTGTATTTGAAAGAAACTTAAAAATAATGCCAAAAATATTAGATGAATATATTTTTAATACGAATATTGTTTTATTTTTGTTCGTCAACTTTATCCCTCACTAACAATACTAGTAGTAGTACATAACCTGGTTTATACCGCTAAAGATATTGAAAGATATACGAGTAATTCAGAATGTTATCAAGTTCAAAATAAGCACACATTACTTGCTTAGATAACAGAGTAATATTACTCGTAATAAAAACATTTGTAACACCCATATGTATACTACGTATGTATAGTAAGTACTTAGCTGCGGCGCCGTGAGACTCGTCTACCTCATCTACTCATCTACGCCGACCGACCAATAGGAGCGCGCCTCTCATGTTTCCAGAAAGTTCGCGACTAACGGACGATATAGTAGTAAGGCAATGAGTGTCGAAGTGACATCATTATAATATTTTCTCGTTAAATTTTATTGTAATATACACAATTTCGCACTAAATAACGTGTTACCCCGTTACACATTTGTAATAATGAAAAACCTAGACCGACCCTGTTCACTTAATCTTACAAGATCTGACTTTAAAAATTACGATATCCTCATATAGCCTTTCATTTCCCCTTTCAATACTTTTTCGCATTAAAAAGTAGCCTTTCTCGGGGTCTACATTATCTGTCTACCAAATTTCAATTAAATCAGTTCAGTAGTTTTGGCGTGAAAGCGAGACAAACAGACAGACTGAGTTACTTTAGCATTTATAATATTTGTAAGAATATCGCTATTAAAAATAGGGGTTGGTGAAAGACGGGTGAAAATTTAGGCGTGTATGTATTTTCAATGTAACATTATAAATAAATAAAAAATTGTCCATAATACAAAAAAAATATTTTTTCGGGGTAGGCCACCCCTGTGACTTAGGGGTTTAAAAAATAGATAACAACCCTACCTCAGACCTGGCAAGTATACATATCAAATTTCATCAAAATGTGGGAGAAATATGGCAACTAACACTGTGATACAAAATTTATATATAAGATATAGCGGAATTCTCATTAGGTAAAAGAGGGGTACATCGTAGAATACATGAGGTATATACCAGTAAATTAATTGTAGCTAAAATCAGTCTCATACATATAATGATTGAAATAAAAAATCGTATAGCCCGATTTTGATACGTACGAGTATAAAACGTATCAAAATCAGGCTATACGTATAGCGCAGACGCGTTACAACATATTAAAAAAATAGGCATGGAATGTAAAATAAACCATAACATAATAGGTATATACATTGGCACATAAGCCATATCTGCAGAGTGTCGGCTAACGAT